GCAGGGGACAGCCTATATCATCCCCTGGGTGACTGGCTAAAACAGATTGCCGGGCCTCGCTCTCAGAGTCTCCTAGTCAGTAGGTCTGGGTGGGGACAGAGAACTTCCATCTCTGACGTGTTCCCAGGTGACGCTGATGCTGCTGAACACACTTTGAGAACCACTGAGCTGGACTGTCGGCATGGATTTATCCATGAACAAAGGGGAGCTGAAGGGATGAAGAATACATAGCGGGAATATCATCTTTCTGGGTGGAAATGGTCCCAGGCCAAGAAACGAAGGGGAAGGTTCAGTCCCTTGAGCATGGCTTCTCGGAAGCAGATGGTTCACCAGCTGCAGGAGAACGATCACGGAAGGGGAGATGTTAAGAAACTGGTGTGCGGATGGGAAACATGGAAGGCAGGGGCACTGGGTCTTTCGCAGCAACAAGGAAGTGTCTAAAGGGGTGTTTGTGCAGAGGAGAGACGATCAGTGCCTCGAGGCCTGGGAAGTTTTGGAAGCACAATCTCAACAGATCAAGAGAATGCTCTGGAGAATGGCAGCTTTGCAGCTCAGTTTATCCATTAGAATCAAAGAGGAAACACCAGGAGGGTGGGGCCAGAGAATGAGATGCATCAGCGGTAGATTCAGGAGGCGAAAGAGAGCAAAGCAGGGGAATCTCTAGGACCAGATGAAAAGCAAAATGCTTCTGTTACACGGGTGGGTGCAGGGTAGTCAACAGTTCCCATTCACTGCACGGAGCGGTGGTGTTGGGCAGGGGAGACAAGGTAACAATGAGGGCGCTGTGGCCTCGCTCCGGTGCCTGCATTTGTGCCTCTGAGGGGTCTAGGGAGAAATTCCTCTGATGTTTCAAAGGCATCTTGTCCTAGAGGCGCAAGAACCATTTAAGGAGAAGACTGGCCTTGGCTACGGAGGCTACAGGCCTGGGACATGACCTGTCCACATGGCCTGCCCAGTTAGGAATTCATGATCAGACCATCCTGGGTGGTACATTTCAGTCACTGAGCTTGTCATTCCTGCCATGGGCCCCTCCCCCC